TCAGAAGGGTCTAAAGGTTCTTCATGGGATGATGATTTCCTAGACTTCTAGGGTCTCCTCATCGTATGGTAATTCGAGGTATCTCCATATTCATCAAAAAGTTCATCCTCGAATTCAATCATAAAGTCCAAAATTGGAGTTTCCTCCTTTTCCGGTGGTTCAAAATCTGGGACAGCTGAAGTTGGTGATTGGTCTGGTAACGATTCTAGTTCAGCTATCTGGGATTCCTCCTCTAACGGCTTTTTTTCTACTTCTTCAGGGGTGTTCTCTAAGATTTTCATAAGAATGCTTCTCCTCGAATTTGCGGAGACATGCAAGAACGAACCTCCTGAGGCCATATTAAGACGCTTCGAGGTTTTCCTATCAAGACCCATATAGAAGTGTTGAAGAAGAATAGGGTCGTGAATGGCAAGGTCAGGGCCAGTATTAATGAGAGTATTAAAGCGTTCCCATGCCGTGCCTAGAGATTCTTTTTTCTTTTGTTTAAAAGATAGAACCTCTGAACAAAGACTAACTACCCTAGAGACGGAAAAGAATTGCAAGCAAAAGCTAGAGCACAAGGCTTCCCAATCTCCTTGTCTACTCCCTATAGTGAGGTTGTACCAACGTTTAGCTTCTCCCGTCAAAGAGAAGGGAAAAATCTTCCATCGTACGGTTTCGTCTAACTTGCCTGCTATGCGCAAGCATGCATAGGTTTAATCAAACTCATTTAGGTGGGAATAGGAGTTTTCATCATCTTTGCCCGAAAAGGGTTGATCCTGAATCATGTTAATTAAACACGGGCGTAGCTCATAGTCAGGTGTTAGGATAGGCTTTGAAGACACTTGTGGCTGTAGGCGTGCGCTCATGGGTGCACCATATTTGTAGATAGGGGTGGATTCTAGATCCATGATAAAAATAAAAGATAAAGAGATAAAAGATAAAAGAATAATGATACAAGGATAAGCTAGGTTCGAAGTTAACTCAGCGACCATTTCTCCGGCAACAGCGCCAGAAATGCGTGTTGGTATAAATAAATGCACATAGAATAATCCGCAAGTGCACGGATGTTATACCGATGTAGCACTTCACCGGGAGTACCCAGTTTTATATCGAACTTGAGGAAACGTGTGTGAGAATAACCAAATCTAGCTTAACCCAACTTCACAATCAAGGCTAGATAATAGGAGCGTAGAGAAGATTGCTAAGGTCTTCTAGTACTAACTTCAGTAAGCTTTATCTTCTATTGTTCAATTCTAGGGATATTACTAGAGAAAACACAGACAGAGCATGTTTCCTATAGTAACAAGGTCCTGCTAGGCCTACTAACGGGAGGTGGACTACAGAGGATTCAACGAGGCTATAAGAGTCACCCTCGTGAGCTACCATGATCCAGAAAGTAGGGTACATCCATGAGTAACCGAATCTAAGCACCACGTTTACACTACGAATACTACTTTAACCCAGGAGCTACAAGGATTAAAGTACTCCAAGAGAGAGTCGCAAATCTAAAGAACAATATGAACAAGATGCTTACTTGAATTAGAAGTCGATTACCAGAGAAATCTCAAAAGCAAACTCAAGAAGAACTTGATTCCGTCAGGGTACAAGCCGTAGAGAGAGCACCGACAGGCCAGAACTCCTCCGAAACTCTTCCCTCTCAGTCTATCTCTCTATCTCTAATACAAGACTAAATCCAATTGTTTGGTGATTTGAACTACAAGAAACAAAGTCATCTTTGACCATGGTCCGGTTAACAGCAGTGATTGGAAAAGAGAGATGAAAGAAAAGCTTGGCTTAGTGTGTACCAAAGCCAAACCAAGCAGACAAGGCCCAATTAGTTTATGGAGAGATAGCCTTTTATATTTAAGGCATTTTTTCTTTTGGGCCTAGCTGCCTTGTACTCCTATTTTTTGTACATAAACCATTCTTTCCTTTAATGAGAAAAGCAAAAAAAAGGTAGGGGGCTCCCCTACCAGTTCGGTCAAAAAAACAAGTTATTCATTGTATGGTTAATGTTGGATCGAAGCAAGATGTGGCTTGATAAGGTGAAGATAGCAAGGAAAGGTTTTTGAGGTACTAAGCAAGGGTGAAGTGCAAGCAACAGCTTGGCGGCCGAACGAAGGACCTAACTAATTAGGGTGAAAAAGAGAGTGCTTGCATTTAGTTGAGGTACAAATCAATGCAAGCTATGATAGTCATGTTGATGTAAAGGATCAAATCATATATGAATGTGATTTAAAGCCTATGGATGGAATTCGAATTAGAAGTGGTTCAAGTCACATGCTTAAGGTTGACACATGCTCAAAGTATGAAGTGATGAACTCAAGTATGCAAGATCAATGTGGGAAGCAATTGATGGATGAAAGCTCAAGTTGAGGTTAAGTTGTTTTTTGAAAAGGATTAGGCAAGCCTAGAGGGGGGTTGAATACACCTGTTTAAAATTTAAACTCAATGTAGCGGTTAGTACAGGCGCGGCACTACCGTACTTGCACGTGGAACTTTTGCTGCGCGGAAGTTCCGTGTACAACTGCGGCACTTTCCCAGATTAGAGTAACTCAAAACTACAATTCGAAAACTAATAAAGGAAAAGTAGATCGAGTGAAATACTAGTGTTCCTGGTAGTATAGTTAGGTCCTATTCACCACTTCTCCAAGGTCAAAAGCTCTTGTAAAAGTAGATCAAGAGCAAACCCTAGAATCACAACCAACACAAGTATAGCACGAAGAAAACAGCAAGAACACAAGGACAAGGTGTTTATCCCGTGGTTTAGCTCTCCACAAAGGCTTGCCTACTCCACGTTGTTGAGGAAGCCACCAAGGCTTGGGTATCACAAAACCCTATCATCTTCTCAAGTTAAGAGAGAAAGTCTCTAGCTTGAGAGTTCTTACTAGATTTTTGGAGTGTACAAACTTCCCATAGCACCCACAAGAGGTTGTAGTGCTTTAACAGGCAACGCCTAGCCGGCTAGGAGCCCTTTCTTAAAGAGTAACAAATGCAAGATTCCAGCTTGAACACGAACCAAGTGCTCTAGGAGTTGAAGCTCAAGATGGCAAGCTCTTTTGTGAATTCTCCGGAGGCTAATCTCTCAAGGAATCACTATGGATTGATGGGGAGAGATTTGATGCACTTCAATGGCTTAGAGAGAGCTTGTCTGCTGGCTGGTGTGAATGAATGTGTCAACTGACCATTGGGAGGAGGAAGAAAGGGTATAAATACCCCCGGCCTCCCAACTAGCCGATAAGTCACAGAAGTTCCGCGGAATACGTGGCAGTTCCATAGTGTGACTGTGCTCATATTTATGCGGTACTTCGGCGCAAGCCCGCAACAGAAATTAGGAGTTAAGCTTTGGCTGGCTTGGTTACATTGTGAGGAAACATGCAAGGTGGGTTAAGGTTGAGCACTTGGTTGCACATTAAAGCATGCATTTGGCATCCCCCTTGATAGTACGATGGTTCCTATATTCAATTTCAAAATATAAAATAAATTTAAACCTCCATAGAGTCAGCCACCGCAACCTTGTGTAATTCGGTGCTCCACCAAGACAATGTAGTATCCTCACTATGTATTTCTTGCTTGTCAACTCGATAATCTTATTAGTCCTCAAATTATGTGGTCGTCATCACCAAAACCCACGCTAGAGCTTGACTGCACTTACAATCTTCCCCTTTTTGAGAATTGATGACAACAAAATTTGATCTTACAAATGAATAAAATATAAACTAAGATTTTCAATCCATGGGTATAGAGACTCCCCCTTAATATGTGAAGCAAGATTTGAATTCTTGAATTGGCTTGAAAGGCCAATGTTTCACATATTGAGATAAGTGATGGCCCCTCTATATCCATGTTTCTGCGGGGTGCTGCACGCTATGTCATATAAAATAATCATGATGCAGATGGCAATTATGCACTTCAAAAAGATTCTGAACATGCCATGCGTGGCACTTTCGCAAGTGCATGCGGCACTGTTGCAGCATTTTGCGACACTGCTGCAGAAATGACACTTAGTGAAAAAGAAACAAGCACCACACTAATTCATGTAGCTCCAGCAAATTAATTTCATCACCTGAGTCATCTGTACCACATTTCAAATTAAATGCATCTTTGTGTAGATTAACTGTGACTTCAGAAGAGACACATTGCCTATCAAACTCCATGTGTTTTAAAAGATTTACCGACTTACAAATTTTATTATTCGAGGATCCTAAAAAGACGCCCACGTTGCTAGGGGCTGTTTGGTTTTGACCCTGGCAAAGGTGCCTGGGCCAGGCAGCTCCCCAGGCCATCGATTTTGAGCGCCTGGTGGTCGACGAATGGACCTGCCTGGGCGAGCACCCCTAGGCCACGCTGCAAACCAAACAATCCCCTAGTATTCTTAATAATTCTACTATCAGAAAAAATAGAAAAGGATGCCTCAATAGTACCTTTCTTGTCTCGAGTATCTGGGTTCTTAGGTGCCTTGAGTTTAGATGCTTTTTTTGTTGAATGTTGGTCTGTTGTGGCCTCACATCTTTTGCTCTTGCGTGTTCGGGTGGCAGCTATTACTGATGATTTAGGTGTGAGGGAGGGGTGAGGGGTAGGCACTTTTGTCTGTTGTATGTATCCCAGGTGACTTGTTCACGGAATTATCATCTAGTGCTGATGTCACGGAATTATCACCTAGTGTTGATGTCACGGAATTTCTTGCTGCCGAAGGAGAATATGTCAGCGCCCCTTGTTTGTGCCAACGACGCGGTCCAAATAATCCAAATCAATAGCGGAAACATCGAAGCCAATTGTGGGAAGGAGCACCATTGCCTGCAAATTACTCCGACCAGGATGTACTAATTGTAGTTTTCCTATGCAGAGAACGAGCTGTGCTGTTTGTCTTATTATATGGCATAGCGCTATAACATCTAGCTGTATATGGTAGCGCAGCTTCATTTCGTGCATATATATAGTAGTGTACACATATGTATATGTGCTCACCCAAGTGTTATTCAGCTCCAAAAAGAGACGAGGAGGCAAGAGCAAAAAAAATGGTCGCAGTCGACTCTCCCTACCTTAAACTGATGCCGTCCTTTCAGTTTCGCTACTTGCTGCTGTCAACATTACTGTACTTGCCTCGTTATTCTACCTCACTTTCCTTCAACTTCGATTTCTCCCAACCGGGAGGTCATAACGCCGCAAACTTCAGCTTCGACGGCGATGCATACTTCCACTCCCAGGTGATCGAGCTAACAAGGAATGACAGGAACCAAGGCTTGGACAACAGCGTAGGCCGGGCGTCGTACGCTCAGCCTGTGCCCATCTGGGACGAGGATTCCGGCGAGGTCGCGAGCTTCACCACCACGTTCTCCTTCAAAATCCTCCGAGACAACCAAAACAACATCACCGCTGGCGACGGTATGGCCTTCTTCCTCGGGCATTACCCGTCGAGCATCCCAACCGATAGTGGTGGCGGTGGTCTCGGCCTCTTCAGCTGGGGCGAAAACAGCACGAACGCGACGGGGGATAATAGGGTCGTGGCAGTCGAATTCGACACGTTCAAGAACACAGAGTACAACGACATCAGTGACAACCACATAGGAATCGACATCAACTCCCTCATCTCAAAGGCGTACACGGATGCCAGCGTCCCTGGAAAGAACCTAACGTCGGGCCTCGTGATGAGCTGCCAGGTGAGCTACGGCAACAGCACAAAACGTCTCACTGCTGACCTCCAGATTGGCGACGCGACCTACCACGTCGAAACTAGGGCTGACCTCAGGTTACTCTTGTCGAGCATGGTGGCAATTGGCTTCTCGGGAGCTACTGGTGTGGCTGTCGAGCTACACCAGGTTCTGGCATGGTCATTTTACTCCACACTGGATAGAGCCCCTGCTCCACCTTCATCATCAGCTTCACCTTCACCTGATAATAATGGTAATCGTCGTGGAGGTTTCTCCTCGAAGGTTCCATGGAAGATAGTTGGAGCAGTAATCGGAGTAGTTGCTGTAGCGGTAGTTGCCTTGTGTGCTCTCCTAGTATGTCTGCGGAAGCCGTGTGCAGGAAAGAAGCCAGCTTCAAATGACAAACTAGATGATGAGCAACCAGAAACACCAACTAGTTTAGACAAGGCTCCTACTAACGTTCCCAGGCCTTTCAGTTACCGTGAGCTGGCCAAGGCGACAAACAACTTTTCAGTGCAAACTAATAAGCTCGGGGAAGGGGGCTACGCCGTCGTCTACAAGGGCCAACTGAAGAACCCAGACCGATTTGTGGCCATAAAAAACTTCAAACTAGGAAAATCTGCCACTGACAGGAGGAAGGCATTCGAAGATGAAATCAAGGTTATTAGCCAAGTCAGGCAAAGGCACCTGGTTTAGTTAGTAGGCTGGTGTATTGATGAAGAAAAGGATATCGTGTCACTTGTTTACGAGCTTGTTTCAGAAGGTAGCCTCCACGACCATTTGCACAAGGGAAGGAGTTGGTTGCCATGGTCCAGAAGGTATGTACGTACTAGTTTTCTTATCTTATCCTTGAGCTGACACAGACATTCCTTCTTCCATTTATACCAGAACATAACATTTTGATTATTCTCCTGTCTTTTGTTCAATTATAATTGGAGGTACTTTACATCAATAATTTACCGGTGCTTTGTTTGGTTGTTGCTTATATACATTAGGTATCAAATCATCCTCGACCTCGGGTGTGCTCTACGGTATCTACATGGAGAATGCACGGGCTGCATCTTACATGGTGACATATCAGCATCTAACATATTGCTTGATTCACAGTATGTTGCGAAATTAGCTGACTTCGGGTTGGCGAGGTTGATGGACCATGCGATCGAGCTGAAAACGACATGTAATGTAGCCGGAACGCCAGGCTACATAGATCCAGATTTTATAAACATTGGGAAGCGGAGCAGGGAGTCAGATGTCTATGGCTTTGGCATTGTTCTACTAGAGACAGTCACCGGCCGGAGCCCTGCTGCTGCTGCCGTCGATCCCACTACCGTCTCCCCTTTGCTAAAATGGGTATGGGGGATGAAGAACAGCGGCGCAGTCCTTGAAGCATCAGATCCGAGGCTCAAGCATGACTCTACGAGAGATGAACAAGAACAGATGGAGCGCGTGATACAGGTCGCGCTCTGGTGCGCACACACCGATCCAGCTCAGAGACCATCCATCAAAGAAGCCATGAGGGCCTTGGAGTCCACGAACATGGCGATCCCTCCTTTGCCACTGCCGGGATTCATGCATGGGCCATCAAACATTGCTGATGATGACATGTCATGTGAGACCTCAGATAGCGTTGTATCATCTGCTGCAAGCCGGGCTTAGCTTTCATCTTGCTTGCATATTTACTTTCCGAAGAATAATCTTTCTTTACTCTCACATAGGATACAAGTTTAATCTGTCTGCACAACTTTGTTCTTACATCAAACGTTAGATATTCCTTTTGTTCACATGTTTATTAATGTGCTGTCCCTGCGACCCTTCACCCATTCTTCCTTCGTCCATGTTTTCTCCCTCGTCTCTCCAGCAGTTATAAATCAAAAGATGAGCTCCTTGCAACCTTGTCTTGTTCCCATCAATCAATGTTCTCTTCTCCCTCCATCGGTTACTCCTCCAAGTAGTTGTCCTATCCGGTGAGACACGCTTCTTTGGAGAAGTGCATCTGATATGAGATGGTCTGCTCTCCCATGTCCGATCATCTGAAGGATTTGAGAACCAAGATTTGGGGATACATGCATGTAACGACCCTTAAGATATGTCGCATTGCAACTTTTGGTTTGCTTATTATTGTGCCTTTTCAATGTTCCAACCAGATGTGTTCTTTTTGTTGCATATGTCATTGCACTTGCTCTAGGCATGGTTGTCATTTGGTGCATCTTTGCCACTGTACTTGTTGTAGACACGAGTCTCATTATTAGAGCATATTGAAGAACCGAAATGGTGACTAGAGGGCTAAACCACATGATCACTGATCTAATTACATGAACATGATCTAATCTTAGATGGATTGTGAGACTACATAGCCGGGAGGTGGGTACTCTGCCATCGATAGTGGAAGCAGAGGTCGTCGAGTGAAGTAGACGAGATGTGTCAATGCCTCTGCCTCCTCTGGACGCCGAGGAGGAAGCAGAGACGTCATGAGGGGTGGTGTCGGCGAGAAGAGGAGGTCGGTGCCTGTGGTGGCCTTCCTGTCACTGCATCACCTTGGTGATCGGATCTTAGGTAGCAATACAATACATATTCATAATTGTTATATACTCTTGTATGCACCATGTATAGTGCAACGAAAAATAATAGAAATAAGAAATCACATTTCACAAACCATACAAGTCAAGGTTTTAGCCAGCCTCCGTATTTCATATATCATATATCAACCACACAGAAACCAGCCAACCAACCACCATAGTTCATATATTATGTATCAGTAGTCAGGGTCTCAGCCTCTTGGACGTGGCATACGATGCGCAAGCTAGAGCGCCAATGCGTCATCACTGCCACCACAATGTGGTCGGGTGGGGGAGGGAGCACACTATCATAGTCGGTTTCAAACCGGCTGTGATGACCATGCCATCACCGTTGACAATTCACTGTCGAGGCTCAAAACCGCCGGCGATGGGGGGTTACGAGCCAGCTGTGGTAGGCCTTCTATAGTTGTGACTCTGCATGTCACTTGCTTTCCATGACTAAACTTCATAGTTGAGCCATGTACATGTTCTTATGCAAGTTACTATCAGGGAGTATTGATATCCATATAATGCAACTCCAAACCATAATCAATGGCAAGCAAGCATCGTGACAATTCTAAATGATGTTTATGTGACACGGGAGGCAGAACTCACATGAACTCTTTACTACGAGCCTTGCCTTGAAATTTTCCACCTTCCTTTTGAAATCACAAATAATTATATAGAGCCATCGGTAGTCTACTGTGCTGATCCCATTAGGAATTTCTACTAAGTCCATACTTCATTAGAGCTCATATACTTTAACTCACCCTTTCATGGACTTAAAGCATTTAGGTGAGTATTTTCATTATGGTTCCTTGAGTAGTACAGGAACATATACCTTTTCAAGTCACAAACGTCTAACTAATGCCAGTGACATAGTCTTCATTAATGGTAGATTTCTACACCACTGTGATCTAAACAAGTCATTAGTCATCATAGGGGGTCTATACAGGCCGTAGAGGTTTAATATCACAATTACCTCGCCATTACAAACTATAATATCGATCCAGTACTCATAATTGAGCGCTCAACTTCTGAACTTTAATTAGCAGATGTAGTCCCATATTTCATAGATGGGGAGTAAAGTCCCATGTCAGTACCCAAACAAAAGAGTCGCAGTAATATGCTGTCGGATAAAGTCAAGTCTGGGCCAGCGTGTATTAACGTTGAAAACCCGGCCTAGGCTACACCTATAGACTCCTCGCGCTGCTCAAAGTCGAGGATCGTCCTTGGTAGAGAGACGATACGGGACATGGAGAAAAATGCAAGACAAAACTTGTCCTTAAGTTCATCCTAGTCCCCATTCGTACTTTCTATGGTGTGTGAACCATTTCTTCGCCTTCTCTGTGAGAGAGAAGGGAAACAATTTCCACTTCAGAGTTTCTTGTGTCATGCCAGAGATGCTCAGGCATGAATACATTTCCTTGAACTCTAACAGGTGATGGCAGGGGTTTTCGTTATCATGCCCGGAGAAGGGTTGTGCCCGAACCATGGCTATCAAGCCAGGGCGGAGTTCACAGCCAGATGAACATGTGGTTTTGAAAGGTGGTGGCTTAGAGAACTCGCCCTTTGAAGCGGACTAGCATTGTATAGGAGTGGTTTTCATGGTGAAAATATTTTGTGTTTTTTATATAAAAAAGAAAAGATACAGCTACGAGGACGAACTAGGTTTGAAGGAAATAAAGCAACCGTTCCCCGGCAACGGCGCGAGAAATGCTTGTTGGTATTTCTTAACGCAAACAGAAATGATCCGCAAGCACACGGAATTACCGTTGTAGCATTTCACCCGGAAGTATTTAGGGTATCATATTTTCCACAGGGAACGGAGGCAAATATTTTACCTAGTTCATCCAAGGACAACACAAGGATAGAGTAGGTAGAGGGTAGAGAGGATTCCTATAGTTAAGAGTCTAAGGATAGATAAACTTTAATATTACTTGCTTAGTTTGAGCACCGGAGCGCACCTGGTCTGCTAGGCGATACTGGCTTACGGCTCTACGCAGTGCCCGGATGTGGGGGATTACAAGGGACGGACAGGGTTGTCACCACCTGTCGCCTACCCCTCAACTGTAGAGCACGAGGCAAACAAATGTAGCCCCTAGCCTAGACACCATGTCTACGCTATCGACTACTACTCTAGTGTCATATAGGGTGATCCGTCTTTATCAGGAGCCCTCTACTAGAGCATCCGCCACAGGGACGGACGACGAACCCGCAAACAAGTAAGAGTAAAGATTAACTAATCAAAGACTTCATAACCAAAACAACCACAAACACTCACTTAGCGGGAGAACCCAATGAAGTATAGCGCATGTGTTCATTGGGCTACAAGACGGGGAGACACCGACAAGTCCAGCGCTTCCCCAAGCTCTGCCTCACATCTCTCCAACTACTTGCTCTAGATAGCTAGCTAGGGCCTAAGCCCTTGGGATGGTGCTCTTGGTGTTGCCCTTTGCTCCTTGAGGTGTTGTTCAAATGAGGAGGAGGGAGCCTCCTTTTATAGGAGGAGAGGAGGGGGTTCCTTTGAAAATTCCCCATTCCCTCATGGAAGGAGCAAACCACCCTCATCAGCATTTAATTTACCGCCAAACCACTTGAACCGACCAAAGAGAGGCGGTATAAACCACCTGGAGAAGGTTGGGCCCAAGGCGCGCCAGCAGGGGTGTGTCCGCACCATGGGTGTGGCCACACCCTAGGTGGGCCATCTTGAGTCCAATTTTGTTGTGAGGTCTTCTTTGGTCTTCTAGAGTGGGCCTGCGTGGGTTTGGCGCTGATTGGTGGTGTTTGGATTTAGGTTTGTCATTGTTCTTTTCTCGTATGGGCCCTGATTCTTCAGGTGATTGGGCCTCTCTCCTTTGGACTTGTGTAGAATGGTGTTAGTGCTCCATTCTTTTGCACATTTCTTAGCCCTTTATGTGTACTTCCACAAATGCCCTCGTGCAAATAGTCAAACACTAAAACTTGTGGAAATTCTTAGTTTTAAAGCCCTATTTCTAAGTTTGGTGTTTGTGTGCTAGGATTTTATGCGAGTGTTAATGGTTGATTATGTGAGTTAAGCACCACCAACAAACTCCCCCACACTTGCCCCTTTACTAGTCCTCGAGCAAAGCTTAGGTATAAAACTAATCATGAGCATAACATCCTAAGATGTATGGCTTACATGAAAGTTATTCCAACACATTCTTTACACAAGTAGGATTTGTGGCGTTAGCTTACATGTTTCCTTGGGTTGTTGAAAAGTGGAACAGTTCTTAAAATAAAGTCATCTTTCCAATTTCACATCTTAGCAACTTGGAGTTTTGGAAGTTTTTATCAAGAAAAAGCATAGTTCACTTTATACTCCTCAAATGGCACTCTCAAATTTCTCAATGGTGTATAAATCCTTACTAAGGCATAGCAATGTTTTGCCTTCTTTTGTTTTCTCCTACTTCTAAAAAGGTTTATGTGGAGCTTTAGGTAGGAATAAACAATATAGCATACTTGTATTGCATATGTTGTAAAGTCAAATCGAGGATCCAAGGAGAGAAGTGCCATACTCTTAGATCAAGATGTGCATGTGTGTGGAAAAAGGTAAACTAAAACTATACTCCTTTGGTAGATATGATCTCTCTCTATAACTTATTACTTTGAAAGATGGCTATCTTTCTTCCTTCTTCTTCTTTTCAATACATGAGCCTTCATGTGCTCATCATTTTTTTCTTTTGTACTTGGACCTTCATGTGTCCATATATTTTTTCTTTCCCCCTTTTTTTATATTTGGACCTTCATGTGTCCAATTTTTTTAGCTTTTTGCATAGCCCATGTCTCTTCTTCTAAACCACATATTTAGAAAAATATCATTATCTTTTTAGAAAATGGAGTATTTTTGTAACAAACATATTTTTTGTCTACTCCTAGTGTAGGAGCAGAATTTTTAGTGGATCTAGATGGAAGCATATTTTTGCGTACTCCCAGTGGTGTAGGAGTAGCATGTGTACGTGATCTTGATCTTGGGAGCATGATAAATCTCTCAACAAGGATCAACAAGACTTGACCAAACTCAACACAACAACAAGAAGCATATGTGGAAGGCTTGAAACTTGTAAAATGTTATATTTG